CATTTTGTTTATCAACGATCTGCCCTTGTATACAAGTGCTCAGTTGGACCTTTACGCAGACGATACGACTGTCACTGCTTTTGCGGATGTGAAAAACTTAGCCACCTTAAGTTCATCACTAAATAAGTCTGTCTCTGAAATTCAATTATGGGCTTCAGCGAATAAGCTCCCATTAAATGAAGACAAGACTAAAGTACTCACGATCACTGGGAAAAGATGTGTGGCTAACATAAATGGAAGTGACATAGATGTTTTCGTAAACGGAAAACAGCTCAGTAATGTGGATTGTGCTACCTTATTAGGCGTAGAAATTGACAGCAAATTGTCATTTGATGAACATATTGAGAAAGTATGTAAAAAGTTGGCCTCTAGAATCGCAATACTGCGTAAGATTCGAGCCTGTCTACCTCTTAAACAGCGACTTCAGTTTTATAATAGCATTATTCGCCCTGTTATGTCTTACGCTAACGTTGTTTGGGCAAATTGTGATAAAGAGTCGGTTTATAGGGTCTTAAGATTGCAAAAACGTGCGGCACGCGTTATTTCTTATGCCGATCGCATGACACCATCAGTTGCTTTGTTTAACAAGCTAGGTTGGATTCCGTTTTATGAGCAACATAAGATAGATAAATGCATAATAATGTATAAGCGAATTAATGGGTATTTGCCGAATTATCTAAATGAACACTTAATTTTGAATAATAAGCGGCACTCCCGCAACACTAGATATTCAAGCATTAATGCTGTTTGTCCTAAATATAGAAGAGAAACAGAGGGAGGACGCTCTTTCGCTGTTTCGGCAACAAGACTGTGGAATAGTACACCAATTGAAATTAGGAAACTAGGTTCTGTAGCATGTTTTAAAAAGAACATGTTTGCCAAGATTTTTAAGGAACAACAATGTTTGCATCATTTTATCATTTACTAATTTTCTATTTTTATAAAATTCGAATCCTGTTTTATTTTAATTGTTTACATATTTTAGCTTACTATATTTATTAGATTGTAAATAGTTGTTTTATTTTATGAGGGCCACAAGTTTATTAGCCTTTGGCTATTAAGTGCTACCCTCTTTAAATAAAGGCTTTATTATTATTATTATTATTATTATTATTATTATTATATATTATTATATTATTATTATGCTTTTCAGTAACGGCTGGTTTTGTATTACAACCCAGTTATTCATTAAAATTTCTTTTAGGCCACGTAATGCCGGGTGATATGTCGTAACAAATGGCAAAATTTTCGTTTGAGTCTTTTTTCTTTGTTGGAGAGCTAACCTTCTGTCCTGGAAGCGGACTCCTGTTAGGGACCTCTCAATGAAGTTGTTAGGATATTCGCGCGCTTTGAGGCGCAGTTTGAAGTTTGAGAGGCATTCTTCAAAAGAAGTTTGTGAAGAGTTTGTTCTTAGGAGTCTCGTCGCTCGCCTTTGATAAAACCTCGTTTTACACCCGGAGGGTGGCAGGAGGTGAAATGCGTGTATTGGAAGGTTTCTGTCGGCTTGTAGTGGGTCTTGATGTCGAGGATAGAGTCAGTTTGAAATCTGTCCCCTTTGTATATTATTGTGTCAAGGAAAGTAATTTCGTTCTCTGGATCAGCTGTAAACTTGATTGAAGGGTAGAACTGGTTAGCATGTTCAATGAACAAATTGATGTCTTGCTGGCTTTTATTTCATAGGGAGAAAACGTCATCGATGTAACGTTTCCATTCTATTGGCTTGCTTCTGCTTTGGCCGATGAGTTTTGTTTCAAATTCTGCCATGAAGATGTTTGCAAACAGTACCCATAGCGTTACCGTGCGTTTGTAGATAGTTTTCGCCATTGAATTGGAATGAATTTTCCTTTAAGATTAGCTTTCTCTTTGTTTTGTTTTATGTTTGTCGTTTAAGTTTGCATTTCTTATTATTTTTAATATATTTCATACTTCTGGTAGCCCATAGTATTAAACCGACGAGTACCTGTTTTCAGCTTTTATCAAGCTCCCCGGCTCAGGGTGGGGCTGGGGATAGGGGTGGAGTGTGCTTGCCGGCAGGAGGCCCACTAGACTGTTCACAGTTCTCAATTTTCCAGTGCAATAGTCGGAATCAAGCACATTCTCTAACATGTGGCCATCTTGGATTCTAATGTACCGGGTTTAGCCTGGGGATGACTATGAAATCTAGAAGGAAGGCCGCACATCTGGACGATTTTACGGAAAGATAAGGGACAGTGAACAGCCTAGTGACCCGTAAGAAAACACCCCACCTTGCTATTATTCTAGAACAAATATCGTATCTTTGAAATTAGGTTACCCTGCATTTATAACTGGCATTGTGGTTTACCTCGTTTGGCGCTATCGATTTCGACAGTCACTCTATTCCTTCTGTTTCTGGTTTGACTAATATCTTGTACACTAGCTAATAATCACAAGTAGTTTTAGTCAGGGCTAAAAGCTCAGCTCTCGTTAATATACTCAAAGTTGTACCCAGCAAAAAAAAAAAAAAAAAAAAAAAAAAATT